ATGCTGACGACAAACCAGAGGGATCAGCCAGTCTCTGACCTAACCATTTAGCCTGTTTCTCCTAATACTACATGCTGACGACAAACCAGAGGGATCAGCCAGTCTCTGACCTAACCATGTAGCCTGTTTCTCCTAATACTACATGCTGACGACAAACCAGAGGGATCAGCCAGTCTCTGACCTAACCATTTAGCCTGTTTCTCCTAATACTACAGACTGACGACAAACCAAAAAGTGTTTTTTTAGGTTGCAAATGCTGAATGAAATTGTTATTGATAAATGTTAAAAATACATTTCTGAGAAGAAAAATGTCGTGACATGAAGATGAATGCCTGGATAAACTAATCTAGAAAATGTTAGTTTTTTATTTCTATGACGATTGTACCTGAACTATTATGCTTTGTTCAGAATTCCTCTGTCTTGTTTTGTTTGTTAAGTATCTCCTTATAGATCCCACGGTGGGACAGAGGTAAGTTTACGGACTTACAAGGCTCAAATCCGTGGTTCGATTCCCCACGGTGGACATAGAAAATAGCCTAATGTGGCTTTACTCTAAAACACACAACCAATAAAACTTATCATATACTTATATATGAGCAGTTGTTTGTTCAAATTAGCTCATTTTAATATAGAAATAGTGTGAAGCTATCTAGTTATGAACCAAAGCATTAATGAAATAATTTTTCTAGTATTTTCTTTTCATTATTATAGAACCATTTTCTAAAAAGAATAACCGAGTTTAGGTGAGAAATAACTTTGAGTTAAATAACTGGATATCCTGCAACAAAATTAAAAATATGATCCCAAAAGCTTTGTCTCGGCAGTAAGCTGGGTTGGGTGGGCTTAGAACGCTAAAATTTCAGGTTAGATCCCTGTGGCAAGTTCAGCAGTTCGTGTAGTTTTTATTTTACAACAAACAAGACATATTAAAAAACTTCCCCCCCAGTGGCAATGCGCTATGTCTGCGGACTTACAACGCTAGAAACCGGGTTTCGATACCCGTGGTGGGCAGCTTTGTGCTTAACTACAAACAATTAAAAAACTTCAGGGTCGTACCAAGATCTACCATTTGACTAGAAAAAAATTATTTTTAAAGCCATTGACTCTTTAACAGAACCGGACACAACAGTTATAGCATTTCAGGACTTTTCATTTATTCAATAATGGCGAATACTAAATATGGAATTGTTGTAAACTAATAACTTTCCACTTTCCAGAATCCAACCTAGCGGTTGCATGTCAAGTGACAGCAGGCCCGGCATGGCCGGGCGGTTAGGGCGCTCGACTCGCAATCTGCGGGTCGCGTGTTCGAATCTACGTCACATCAAACATGCTCGCCTTTTCAGCCGTGGGGGCGTTATAATGTAACGATCAACCCCACTATTCGTCGGTAAAAGAGTAGCCCAAGAGTTGGCGGTGGGTGGTGATGACTAGCTGCCTTCCCTCTAGTCTTACACTGGTAAATTAGGGACGGGTAGCGCAGATAGCCCTCGTATAGCTTTGCGCGAAATTCAAAACAAACAAATAAAAAAGTGATAGCTCTACTAATTGAATTGTATTTGTGGCAAAGCTACTAAGACTATCTGCCGCATCCTTCATTCTGAACTACTGGCAACAGGGAAGGCGGCCAATCAGTAGCACTCTCCCACTCACTAGCCAACTAAGCGATTTACTGTCGCACTTATAACGCACCCACAGTTTAAAGTGTGGGGAATATTTTGCCTCATCGCATGCATTCGAAACGGCTCACCAGCTAAAAAATCCCGAGTTCTGTCACAGGGTCAGCCTGCGCCCTCTATCAACTGAGCTAAAGGGTTAACTCTTAAAGTAATTAATAGCAAAGCAATTAACAACTCTAATTTCTCCTTACTCACAATCAAGGGTCATCTTCAGGCCTAATGTCAGAGCCATTGGGGGCCAATAAGTTATTCTCGTGATGATCCAACGGTTTGTACTTCCGGGATCGAACTCGTTAAATCATATTAAATAAACGCTCTCCCGAGTGAGCTAAAGGGCTCACTTTCTAGCAGTTGCCAGCAAATCACTTTTAATAGCTCGAGCTATACGGTACTCGAAAGAAGTTTGAAACTACTTAACAAATTTACTCTTTTGAACTTTTAGAATTTAGTTCTAGACACGTGAATTTAACTGACAACTTCATTCATAAAGACGTGAAATTAGTTGCTCCTATTTCCTTATAGAAATATATTTTTTGAAAAGAGCACCACCCTATTTTGCCTGTCGTGAAATTGCGGTTTTCTCTGGAAAGTAGTACATGCGTAAATGTTTTATCCCAATACATTTATTAGTAAATGCGAGTTGATAATCAACCGTGAATCGTTAGATCTGTCTCGAAATTAATTCACACGCCTTTGAAACAAATCGAAATATACCATTTTTGAGCTGTGACGTGAACGATGCTAATCAATATTTAGACGAATAAAAATGATACTGCTCGACATTTTGTTAACCTACATCACCAGAAATAAGTTTGTCACCGAGAACGAGTCTGCTGCATAATGTTAATAGATGATAGATAGTCTCAACTTTCCATAGATAGAAAGGAATGATCCACAATTGCATAGAGAGAGAAT